AGTTCTGACGGAGCGAACCTTCTTAGGTATTCTTAGGTATTCGTGCCTCTGGTTACAGAGGCACAAAACTCTGGAAGAGTTTTAAGCCCAAACTTTAAACAACTTTAAAAATTAACCATCTAATTTTGTCAATGTGTTTATCCTCGTTTGCAACTTCTACTTCCTGTTTACGTCGCGTTAACATCTGACAAAATCGTGCTTTGCCTGTTGATTCGCGCCAAACCAATAAATGGACACACCTTGTTTGCAATTTCTGCAACATTTTAAAACAAAACATTTTTTTAGTTTTTTTTTTTCATCATTCAATATTAACATGATCATTGAATGGATATATAGGTACTGTTTATTTACTATTACGAAACTCAACTAATTATTAAAGTTACTTTTCAAGGAGGGATTAAATACTTTTAGACGGCATAACCTGTTAATGGTGACAAGCTTATGTTTTTACTTGTGTTAAATCATCAAATTACTGCAAAAAGCTGCTAGTTTGTACATTTTCCTAACAAATTAATCTGCATGAATACTTTTAGTCGCAACTTTACATGCAGATGAGTTCAGATTTATTTTATTTTATATCAGCTTGAATTCTACAATAACCAGCACAAAGCAGATTTGAAAGTCTAATTCGTTCAGTAAAAACAGGCGTTCCTCTTGGACAACTTTACGGCTGGTTGGAATGCATACTTTAAAAATTGAGCTTCACGCTCTCAAAGGAACTCCTTGATGTTTTTGTTGTATTCAGCTCCTGATTGCAGCTCTAATAAAGACCCAAAAAGCCTTTGATCGACTGTCGGTGCGTGTTTTTGTGCGTCCATCTGCCCTCCGCAGAAAAACCCAGAGGAGCGCACACACATACACACACGCACGCACACACACACACACACACACACACACACACACACACACACACACACACACACACACACACACACACACACACGCACACACACACACACACACACACACACACACACACACACACACACACACACACACACGGCTGCGCTGAATAGAAGTGAGTTTTCTTTAATGAGAGTGAAATTTAAATCCAAGACATTGTTCGGTTTTCAGGCTCCAGCCAAGACAAGCAGGTTCCCCTTCCTCACAAACACACCACTCAGTGACGTAATGCTTCACCGGAGCGCAGACATGTGTTGTATCAAAGCCAGTCACCTGCTGGGAGGCGAAATACATTTCAATTAGTTTTATTGTTTGGCCTCTACAAGAATTTACACTCAACTAGAAACAATAAAAGTTCACTACAGTTGTTAAACGACCGCATCAAAACCTGGAAGCTCTTTCAGAACCCCAGAGATCCCATGCAGACATCTGACACCTCCGAAACCGCTTTCAGGAAACCCGAACCCCGACACTTAAACAGCGCTCAGGTCCTCAGACGTCTTTCACAACCGTGAAAACTTATTTACGCCAGTTTAACCCCATTCACCCTCCAATTTCCCTCAATGGGACGTTTATTTAACACCTAGAACTTTTGAGAAACTCTTGGCAACAATCAGAGCTCTTCAAAGAAAAAAATCCTTGGAAACTTTCCAAAAGCCATAAAACAAGTTGCACTTGGACTCATTCAAATCATTGAACTTCTGAAAAGCTTAACAATCGCAGAAGAATACCCGTTACAGAACCAGTTAAATCTTAAAACACTCAAGGAATTTATGGAACAGTTGCCAAACATTTACCTACCAACAGATTTCTGAAACCTGTAAAAACAATCCAACCATCTAAATTTAGTTAAAATTACAAAATCCTGAAAGATTTTGAAATCCCAAACATTTTCCAAAACTTTCCAGAGCATTTCTTATGTTTTCTAAAGTGATTTTTTTTTTTCATTTCTGCTTAAGTCAACGCAGTTTTTCACATAATGACTTCAATAAATTCCTGTAGATTTGTTTTCCTCTATGCGGTTCTAATACCTAAGAGCAGCTGGACTTTGACCTTTGGCATTAGAATCTTTCAAGGTTCTTTGGTGATTTTACATTTGAAGATCCATTTGGCCGCGTCAGTTTTAGGACCAAATGCCAAGATTTCTTACATTTTCAGCTACAGTTATTCTTTCTCACTGAACTGAGTCAAACCAGCCAAACCCTTTGAAAAACCTGTTCCCCTCCTGGCCGGTGGGGGCGCTGCACCAAGAACCACTGAAGCAAACAACAGAAAAACCTCTGAAGACGACGTTCCAGATTTTACTTGTTGCAGGATTTCTCTTTTGTCTTTGGTAAAAGATAATGAGACATTTCTCCCGCTTGAGCAAGACTCACACATTTGCTTTGCTTGTATTACCCAGAATGCTCAGCGCTGCAGTCCGCTTCCTGGTTTTGGAGCAGTCTCTGGTCCGCTTGGTATTCATATATGCATTGGAAACGTTCCAGAGTTCACTTCAACTGAACTGAAGCCGAGGTTTATAGGTGGACCAGAGTTTGATTTTTTTGGTCCGGTTACATATTCACAACTCCCCAAACAAACCGGACTTTTAGAAATTTCTGAAATTTGTCAAACTCTGAAAATTTCCAAAAGCTGAATTTTTTGCTCAGACATTTCCAAGTTTTTTTCTACAAAAGTGTATCAGATTAATTTCAAAATGTCTGTTTTTTTTTTCTTTTTATTTTGCAGTTCAGAAAAAAAAATTCAGAAAAATGTCTGAAATTAAACTCAAATGTTTTAATTTTTTTTCACATACTTGCTGCTCAAAGGGATAACGACAGACAAGCAACTTACAGTTTATCTGCTGTGGCTATGCTAACTACCCTCAGCATTCACAACATGCCATGGTAGCTGCAGCACAGCAGAAAGCAATGGTGATTGACAGCGTTAAGACCCGCCTCCTGGCTCTGATTGGTCACAGCATGATGACAGTTTCAACAAATATGTAAAAAAACATTTCTTATAAAAGTTACAAACTGCAGCTTTAAATGAAGCTTATTATGATTTTAAATTAAAATTCTAAAAAAGAAATTTATCATGACAAATGATGAACAATACGATAATGCCCACGATAACTAGGAACACTCCTCAAGTATTTTTTTGGGAAAAAAAATATTTTTCCTTCTCTGTACTTTTTACTTTAACTTGAGTAATTTTATTGTGAAGTATTGCTACTCTTATTTGAGTAGTGAGTTTTCTACCCACTGTCAATAACATCTGGAGTTTTTGTTAAAATTTTATAAGTTTTATATTGAAAGAAATGTGGAAGAATTTCTATTTTTTCTTTTACTTTAATTTCTAACTTTATATTTTGCCCCATTTGATGAGGTAATTTTTAAATATTAAATGATTTTATGAGTTACAGGACTTGAGAAGATTTTACCAGTTGAGTAATTTCTTGGACGGATAACTTTCACTCTTACTTGAGTGTAACTTTTGGATGCTCTACTCGCCTGTGCAGGTGGTCATAATCTTAAGCCTGATTGAAAGAAATGTGAAAATAAAACTCAGAACCTCTTGATGAGGAAACAGAGCAGAGTTGGGCACGAGTTACATTTACATTTAGAAAAAAATGTACTTTTAGGATGTTTTTTTTTTTTTACCACGCTTTTCTTTTTACTCTGACTTTAGTAAAATTTCTGGACTCTTTTCCCACTAAATGAAAAAACAAATGTGTTTTAACCAGAAATTCAGCAGACACACACCTGCAGTTTTTGTTCAATTTCATTTTTTTTATTAAACGAAACCATTTTGGAAAAATTTTACTTTTGCTAATTTTGTCATTTTAAAAAAAATTATATGAATTGTTGTCATTTTTGTCCTTAAAATATCAAAATTTCCACTGAACTTCATATTTGTCGGTTTGATGATGTAATTTTTAAATATTAAATGATTCATCATTTGACCAGTTACTTAGTACTTGAGTAAACTTTTTACCAAATACTTTTTTACTCTGACTTGAGAAATTTCTTGGTTCCAGAGCCGGCCTAATGCACATGTGAGTAGAGCGGATGCTTAGGCCCTCCATGCCACTAGGGGACCCACAAGAGCACACAGCCAGCATAATAATTTCTTTAACAACTTTAATTAATACAAACTAGATACTATCGCACATTATAGTTGGTATACAAATAATAGGTTAAACTCTTCCTGCTGTTGTTCCGCTGTCTATGTTGGAGAAATGTAAGATATTAAACTTCTTAACTTGTTTATTGTAAATTCCTTGTTTTTATTGTTGATGTTACTTTCAAGTAGTTACAATAATGTGGCACATCCAAAAAGGATGCATAAATTTTTCTAGATTCAAACCTTAGAAAGGGTTGAATCTAGAAAAATTAAAAATTATTTATCTGATCTTATAAGTATCAATTGAATCAATTCTGATCAATAAATAAGGATCTAGGCTACTATTTTCTTTCAAAATGCTTGCTGTATTTAGCTGAGTTTATTAAATTAATTAGAAGTGAATCTTTTGTATTACAGATAATATTTTCTACTACAAGAATATTTTACTTGTTTGTGTTAATTTTGTCCTAATTAAAGGTGGAGAGTTCAGGTCAATGAAATACCTGAATCGGGGGCCCAAATTTATATCTTTCTTGAACCAAAGTCAGGGGCCACACACAATCAGCCCGAGGTCCGCATACAGCCCCTAAACCCCACTTTGGACACCCCTCAAATTATGCTAAAGCTAGCTGGTATATTACACACATATAGGTAGAGTAGAGTAGAAATAAGGAAGCATCTGGTGGTGAAATGTTGATATGGGGGAACTCAAATAAAAATATGCCCAGGGCCCCAAAAGTGCTTGGACCGGCCCTGCTTGAATCGCAGCCTTTTACTTTAACTTGACTATAAATGTGTTAGAGTAGAGCTCTTCCTCCTTCATATTTTTGGTGCTCTACCGCCTCGCATCAGAGTAAATTAACTTTTTTTTGCCGCCAACGCTACCGGACATGCGCAGAACAGACAGGTGTTCTGATTCCCACCGCGACCGTAGCATGTGTTCACTCTCACACAACAAAGTCAATATGAATAATGAAAAAACAGTGACTTACAGGTAGGATGTAAACACGCTCAGGTTGCTCGGTATCTCCCGGAGCCCCAAGTCCGAGCAGTCCACCCGGTGCAGCAGCCCGTCCCCCTCGCACAGACAGCGGCCAGGGCAGGTGGCGTGTCCCGCTGCTCTGGAGCTCTCCTCCCGGGAGTCACCGGAGCTGTTCCCCGCTGCCGCTTTCTGCATCCTCACCCCGGCCTCGGAGCTCCACAGCCCGACCGACAGGACCGCAAGCACCGCTAACAAAGCCCCAGACCCCCGCATGTCCCGCAACGGGTGGAAGTTTGTTGCCCGCGGCAGAAGTGGGAGAATGAGTTAGAGAAGTTGCGGGAATTTGTTGGTTGTTCCTCTGATGAGGAAAAGCAGGTTGTGGGAGCTGGACGCTTGCAGCTTGTTGTGTTTCCAGGCTGAACGCGTGGAAATGCGGAGTGTGTGTGTGAGTGTGTGTGTGAGTCCCTCCACTCAGCACAGCGGCGTGAAAAACCCCGTCCGCTTATATATACACCCAGCCCCTGCAGGGGGGCCACTCCGCTGCACAACAGCCAAATCTGGGATCCATCCCATCAGATGCATGATTCAAACTGCAGAGAAATGAGTTTTTAGAATCTGATTTAGACATTTAAGTGGGCAAAACAATTCTTTAAATCTTTGAAATCAAATGTGCAAAATTTGCTTTAAACTCGGAGTTTAAAGCAAATAGAAATAACTTTATTTTTACATGTTTTGTAAACATTTAAAAACACCAGAACCTTAATATAGGCCTTTAAAATAAGTTTCCCGAACCACATGCTTGTTTTTTATGTATTTACTTTATTCATGAGTTTTATTGATGTTTTCTTTTTCTTAACCTTATGTTTGTTTATGGAACAGACCAGATATTAGCATTTTGGTAAATACAGAATTTGGCAAATTTCCATTAGCAAAATAATAATTTTTTTGAACAAATGTGATAAACATTTTAAAGACATTGACTAATTTTTGCATTTTGCTAATGCTAATTTTGTTAATAGAAAATTACCAAAATTATTTGTCAATTCGCAAATTTTCAATTAGCAAAATATGCTAATTGATTTTTTCCTAGATGGATGGATGTCCTAGTCAAAGTCCAAACCTAAATCTATGGAAAAAAACCTTACTCGAGGCTGATTTTACACACTATTAAAACTACATCACATAAATGTTTATGGATGGATGGATGGATGGATGGATGGATGGATGGATGGATGGATGGATGGATGGATGGATGGATGGATGGATGGATGGATGGATGGATGGATTTGCATTTTTTCCATCCAGATGTGATTCTGGTCATTAGGTCCAAATTTCTATTTTAGTTTTGTCAAACTGTCAGACGTGACTTGATAAAGTCAGGACTTTCTCCTTAAATTTAAAAACTGTAACTTTCCCGGATTTACTTTGCTTTATTATTATTATTATGTTTAATTTTATTATTATTATTATTGCAGATGTTTTTTTTTGTCTTCTTGAACTTTTTCTGTCCGTTTCATGTCTGTTGATGAGACAGCTGCTGGTCATGGAGTTGATTGTTAAGTTGAATTCATTCTTAGCATGGAGCATGGAGGTGGCAGCATCATGCTGTGGTGATGCTTGGCAAGAGGAAGCTGGTTGATGGAGTTAAAACCAGAAAAACCTGTTAAATATGCTGCCAGAGATATTATGGGATAGTTTAGATCAACGCATGTTCATGGTTTAAAATCCAAACCTAAATCTATGGAAAATCTCTAGATGCTCACAGTTGGGAAACCAACAACATACAGATTCAAAGGGCCAGATTTATAAATGTACCCCACACTTTTAAGATTTTTCATTACTTTAAGCCATCGTAGATGTTTTTTTTATTGTCTTTATTTTAATGTTTTTTTTTTTTGCATTTTTCTCTCTTCCTTTTGTTCTTTTTCATATTTTGATCCATTTTATTTTAAAATTATTTTCAATTATTCTCTTTTCTGTCATTTTTCTGCTTTCTTTTTGTATCTTTTCATGTTTCAAAGGTTTTTTTTGCTCATATTTATATTTTTTTAACATCTGAGGTATAACGTATTACCAATTTGTAAGTTTTTCTATTTATTAAATAATTTAAATGTTTATTTAAACTGTTTTCCTTATTTTCTGATACAGTTACCTCCATGCAGTTTTGTATTTGTTAAACCTATGGCAGGTTTTCAAGTTCTAATTTCTGTTAATTGGGAATTCTTATACATAATTTAATTAGCATGTAATATCACTATTTAATTGTTAATTTCTAAGTAATTGTCAGATTAAGGTCCTGACATTCACTGATATGTAGAATCAACCAAAATCTGGTTTCAGGAGTTTATTTTTAGGTTTGTTGAAGGACCACGTGTCAGAAATCTGACAGACTGAAGTTAATGATTTATGCCGCTCACTTCCTGTGTCAGTGCAACTTATGGAAATCAGACAGAGAGGCTTTCTACGTTACAAATATGTGCAGAGGGGTGGGGGGCAGGAAAAGGTGAGATATGAAGATGTTATCAAACCCTCAGAGAGGCAGTGATGATGCAACATGAGGCCACCTGAGGAAAAACACGACTGGCTTCAGCGTCCATTTAAAGAAACAGTCGACCATAAAATCCCTTTTTGTTATAACTTTTTGTGTCAGACATGCTGTGGATCTTTAGATGAACTGGAAAATCATCTACTGAAGTTAAAACTCACCTGAATGAAAAGGAGTTAAGAATAATTTGAGGTTTAAAAGTAAAAGCGACATTTTTTCTTAAATAATTCAGATTTGCTACTGTGTAAAATTAAACCACTTAGTTTTATCAACATTTAAATGCAGCTTTAATGGAAAGCTTTAAAACTTTCTAGAAAAATATAAAATCATTTTTCTTACTCTACTTAGCGAAAGTGTTTTATTAAAATCAAAATAAATCAATAATCAAAATATAATATTAAAATGACTGTAATTTATATTTTATCAATATTTGTGAAATGTCAGTTTAAGTTTCAGAATCATTGTTTTTTGGTGATACACTGAACTCTAGTGGCGGAGCTGCGACATTGCAATGAATTCCCAGGTTTTTGTTTATCCCGAGTTTGCAGGACTGAAATTTCACGCAAAAATTTTCACGCATAAAACTTGTTTATACAATAAACAGCAGCTTATTATTTAATTTTTGACTTCAAAAAAATTTTTGGTTAATTTTCCTCCAATAGTCTCCTGATTCAAAGCCTTGTCCTTGTCATGTTTCCATAAAGTTTAGAGTAATCTATTTTTTTCCCATTTAAATCACTTTATAAAACAGATACAATTCTATTCTATATGAGATTTGAGCATTTCTATGATTATGCATAATAAAAAATAGTAATTTAATTTAAGTGAAAATACTTAAAAACAACCTGAAATAAAGTGGAACACCAGGTTTACGTGTAAAGGTACGAAATGGAAACTCGCGGTTACGAAACGGGGTTACGAAGTGGCGAATGGACCCTGAGCTTCTCCGATGTTTTCCTCCTTCAGCCTGTTGTCAACGTGAGAAACTCCAGCAGCTCTGACGGCCCGTACCACGTGATACAGCAGAGAGTAGGTTAAAGTGAAGATGGCTCACTCGGCTGCCACTTCTAAGCTCGCGATTGAGTGATTTTCTTTTAATCGCGCTTGTAAAATCACCATTTATTTACAATTTGTAGCTTTGTGATGCAGCTTTGACTTGTATAATAATTAATCACCGCAAAAATGATGGCTATAAGTTTTGAATTACTTTTTGAACATGATCACAATGGTAAAAAAAAAAACATTCATACTTTTTTTTAAAAGTGCAAAGATAAATCACAGATACCGTAGCTAATTGGCCATCAGACCAATTTCATTTTTACATTAATTATTTTACTTTAACAGTGAGTTAGAGTAAAATTGAGTTTTCTCTTATGATTTTGCTTGATGTACATAAGCTCTGTTTGTAATTTTTCTTGATTCATATAAAATGTCTTTTAGTTTTTAAGAAAGTGCTATACAAATAATATGTATTATTATTATTGTTTTTATTGTAAATATCATTATTAATTAGCTTTAGTTGTATTGAAAAACATCTGTAGCCCTCACTCTGTAGCTTTAAGTGGCTCTTTGGCTGACTAAATATATTGTGAAATGAAATATTGCCCTTTTTTGTTTGTTTCTGGAGCCCCTTGAAAAGCCCCCTACCACGCCCCGTGTAAATTTGTCTCAGAAACGTCACTAATCGAAACGACCAGCATTCAAATCTTCTCAACAGTGACTCATCGCGTTGTCAATTGGCGATCTCGGTGAAAGCTAGCCGGCTACCTGCTAACTCAGACTGACGCCATTAGTTAGAGGGAAGAAGGCGTAAGAATCAAGAAGAACGATCCGGTTCCGATTCTAGACCCGTTCTTCTTTCAGCTGCGGACTGATACCGTTAAAAGTTCGGGTCGTGTGAGCTGTCAGGGAGCTATTCTGATGATTTTAGCCTCTTTTTTAAAGTCGGAAGTCAGTGCACGGTTCGGACTGAGTTAGCATTGTTAGCAGCTCGGAAAACAAACGTCTGTTTTTCTGGAGGAAAACTCGAGGATTTTTTTTTTACTTTTGGGGGGGAATAAAGTGACACCATGGCAACAGCGGGGGCGGCCGGAACCAGCGGCAGAACCTACTCCTTTAAAGTGGTCCTACTGGGGGAAGGCTGCGTGGGGAAGACGTCGCTGGTGCTGAGATACTGCGAGAACAAATTCAACGACAAACACATCACAACCCTCCAGGTAAGACGGTCCGGGAGGAACCGAACCCCGTCGAACCGGGCTGCTGATGAGCCCCAGCCGCCTAGTGCGGGTTCTGGCTCCTGGCTGGAGAACGGGGGGTCAGTCAGGTGTTTGTGAGGCTTGTTTACGTTCATCCAGACCAGGGAACGGATCCGGTTTCACTTCCAGTCCGGATCAGTATTGGAGCCACTTCCACAGCAGGTCCGGACGGAGAGGGGAAAGTCCGTCCCACTTTCTCTCTCATAAAAATAATATTTATGGCACCCTCACATGTCCAACTGCTGGAAAGATTTGTCTAACATTTACATTTTCACCGGCTCAGTGGCGTGATCATAAAAGAGCAATTCATAAACCCAGTTCATTATTCAGAGTGGGGTAGAAAAAAAGCATGGGGCGACAGTGGAGAGGGAAAACACCACCTTTACAGGAGGAAACCCCCACAATTAAAATGGTCTCAAAACAACAATATTATCATTTATTGCAATAACTTCTGGGACAGTTTATCATCCAGAAAAATCTACCATCGTGCCAGGCCGACATAGATGTTACTAATGTTACAGAATGAGACTAAAAGTGCCAGTAATATTATTTCTGATCAGTTTTTCTGGTTTCATATGAACATGTATCCGTCCTCTTTTTGCAATAGTTTTGTTTTGAAACCTTAAATAGGGGTAAAAAGTGGTGGAGGTTTAAAAA